TGCGCATATGACAGAGCATGCGGCATGCGAGTCGAGTTCTGGCATGGCATATGGCATATGGCAAATGGGGAACTGGAGATTGCAAGCTCGCCTATTGGCAGCTCTTCGCCGAGCCTATAGGCTGGGATTGCGCTTTGCGTCTGTTTCCCAGTCTCGGTTGCCCTCTCGACTCTCGACTTTAAGCGGCCATAAACGTTGCCTGACACTTATGCCTTTTAAATGATAAGAAATTGGCCATTAGAGCCCATGAGTTTGTCAAAAAAAAATATAATAGTCATAGAAAATAATAGAAAATGTGTGTGCACTTTAAAGCCAAGTCTGGCTGTGGCACACGCGACGTATGCGCAACGCCCGAGGCGTTAGCCAAACAAATCACGCCAGTTACGGCCATGTTATTCATTAATAAGCATGCTAATGCACGCGCACACGCCCATTTGTGGTAACACATTTTGTTAGTTTTATAATAATGTACCTCACGCAAACGATTTAAAGTCAATCCGGTGCTGGAAAAGTGAAAAACAGGGTAAAAGCTGTGAAGCAACTACAAAGCGGACTTAATTGCTGCGAAATCACGCGTTAACCTAGCCGATACGATAATACGATAGAGTTCGCATATCGCGCATGTACATCATATTGGAGTAGCTGCTGCCCTTCAGGTCGCTGATTATCCGATTTTACTCGATAAATACGAGAGGGAAGCACAACAAGACAAGTGAAAAAAATGACCGATAATCAAATACTCTTGCGCAGATATTTAAAAAAATGGCCAAAAAAGTGAGATCTTATATCACACGAATATTGATTGAAATATATATTAAAGATATCTTGTGCTGTTTTTGGCGACCTTTCCATGGAATACTTTGTATAGAGATAGACAGACGCAGGCGGTTATATCGACTCGGCTATGGATACTTATCAGGCACATATATGCTATACTTCATGCGATCGTAGATGTCTCCTTCAAAGAATAGGGTTCAAAGCCTACCCAAACAATCAGCTATATATTTCATAGCGAATTTTCTCCCATCTTCTACTGTGCATTGCAATCAACACAGAGCAACTGATATATCTAATGGTAGGGTATACTAGTGCTGGGTACGTGGACAATATGCAGCCGGGAAAGCGCCATGAATAACCGTGCTGTGCAAATGGCGCTGGCCGTGCACCTTCGGGCCAGTCTAATTAAACACGACACTGAAAATGTGTCCTCCGCTGTCATTGACACGTGTGTGCACAACAGCAGCAACAGCAACAGCAACAACAACAACAACAACAACAACATGAGCAACAGCGGCAACAATAATAATAAAACTGAAGCCGGTGTCCAGCCGGATATGCAGCAGCCGATAGGCCGTTAATACACAGCACACACACACACACAAATACCCATACACACAAACACCCACACACATACACACAAACACAGACAGACACATGACGGGCAGCGGCCAGAAGCTGCGTCGGCTGATTTTCCGTTTGCCAACAGTTGCCGGAATAACCGTACACAACGCGCTCTCACACTCTCACACCCACACACACACTGTCACACACACAGCAAATCCACATACACAGCTGCAGAGATTCACGCACGTGATTTATGTGCGTAGGCGCGCATTTTAAGGCGGCAACAAACGAGGTGCAAGAGGTGGCTGCCCTCGGCGCCCAGCAATGTCCGCAGCACGAAAGCCGGCGAGCTATGCAGCGAGTATATACGACTAGAAGTTACCCTATAATAAAAAAAAAACACATAACAACCATAACGAATTGATATTTATGGATTGCGCATGCTGCACGACAATTTCTACAGGAATATTCTCTGGATCTTAATCTCATATGATAGAGATGGATAAAAGTGGAGGCAGAGTCCGTTCTGCTGCCCGTTGCAGTCAACTGCAATATACCCTTTTCCATTCATTTGCCACAGGGTATCGGGAATAAAAACCGTTGGCAACTTTATTGGAATACGCATATTTTACGTGCGTACGCGACTCGATGCTGGTCAATTCAATCAGGATATAATTTTATGCGTTACTTAAACACGCAGGATATGTTAATATTGTGGCGCTAGCCCAGCGGCCGCATCAACAGGGGAAACAACAACAGCAACAGAAAAGCTTCACAGTACGCTTGAAATAACAGCATAGTTGCTGCGGATAAATAACCATGTGTGTGTGTGTGTGCGTGTGTTTGTTTGTTTGTGTTTTCATGATTAATTAATTGTATTTAAAGCATAATTGCCTCTAGCTTTCATTTGATTAAATTTCCGTGCAACTCAATCGGCAGGTCAATTGGCTTTCTGCCTTTTAAATCCACCTGTAAATATTGCCCAAAAGTATTTAAAACAAGTTGGGTGTGCTCGACTGTCAAATACGCTGCACCCAGCGCCCAGATACGTTCCTTGCCATGGCAACTTTCGCTGTGGCTGAGCTTCAACCCTCTGCGCTTTACTATGGCATATTAACCGAAAGGGGGGAAGGCATCCATAAAAATATAAAGAAATTAAAGAATCCCAGTGTGTTTATACTATATGAGAACCTTGATGCCAAATTTGGAAAGTATCCAACGGGAAAAGATATCGATAAATATGGCAAACTGCTTTGTATATATATATATATATATTATAGACGGGCAGGAGTTAGGGCATAGATCGAATCAGTATACCTTTTTGGTGCAATGATTAACTGTAGCATACAATTGCAGAAAAATATTTAACTACAGCCCATAGTTGGCTCTGCTCTTTAATGTATGCCATACGAATAAGGTACAATATTTAATAATCCACCTGGTGGAGGCTGTGACGGGAAGGGAAATCTTCTAATAAACTATCAGTTGCACATTTAATTGAATTCGGAGTAGATTCGATATTCATCACAGGCTTCAAAGCAGAAGAACTTAAATTAAACTAAACCTAACTATGCGCAGAGCTCGTGGCATATGTATATTTTGGAGATAACAAAACTAGGGCTATCAGCAAATGGAGCTCTAAAATGATTCTCAATAGGTTTGGTTTTTTTGAGTACTTTTCAGATTTAAATGCAGATCTCTTGCAGTTTCAGCCATAGTGAAAGTTAATACAAGCTGCTTCTTCTATCGTTACACAGAAACCCTTCAAAAGCCGAGCATGATTATATTGTATATAATAATAATTAAATTATATATAATAATATATGAGGTTGATGTTTTCTAGCCATTCACCATTTCATATGTGAAATTGTGGCCAGGTCAATTGTGCCTTAATATTTGTTATTAAAGTTTAATATTTAATGTCCAAATTTAAGTTAGGCAAAGGCAGACAAATTTTGTTGTGGCCTTTAGTACATTTTCTGTTAACATTCATTTTGTGTTTAAATTTTTTTTACAGTTCGCTTGTTTTTATTCATGTTTAGCAGTTGATTAATTGTTAATTCGTGTCATACGTTTTTTTTTTCTCTGTGCTATTTCCCTTTTTATTCGGCATACAATATTTGATTAATTTTGCAGCTAATTTGGTTAATTAAATTTTGCTATTTCAGTTACGTGACGCGCCCAACACGATGCTTTAATTATTTATATATTTACATATATATATGTATATATGGATATATCTATATGTATGTATGCTGTTTTCACGCCCCAAAAGTTGACGTGCCAACTGTCGCTTCTCTAGCTGCCCCTCCCTCTGCCCCTGCAGCTGCCCCTACACATTCTCTGCATATTATAATCGATGCCAGACAACAACTTTTTGGCCGAGACTCACACGCACAGGCTCCAGGCCTGGGCCTGGGTCTGGGCCTGGGTCTGGGTCTGGGCTCTGTTCAGGTTGCGGGCGAATCATTTTTGGCAAAGTTATGAAACAAAATGCGTAAATCTCTTTAGTTGGCTCATAATTATGACATTAAGCGGCGATGCGACTTGAATTTTAATTGGCATGCCGTCAGCTGGAAGGGGGGCTGGCTGACGCTGTATTTATTATAGTTGTTTCGCATTGTTTATTAATAAATAATTCTTGCTCAGCGCGCGGCTCGTTTGTGGCCATTCATTGACGCGTTTTATGGCCTGATACATGGATTCTGTTCAACCAAAAAATGCAGAACCGTTAACAATAATGGCCTGTTGATTGCCCAACGGCGACAAGCAGCCGAATTTAATTAAACTTATTCAAAAAACTGAGCTCTTTTTTCAATGACCATTCCGGGGCTTGTTCTCACATGAGACAGAGCTTACACACAAATCAATTTCACAGAACTCCAAATACTACAAACTATTGTTGTTTCTTTCTTTTCTAAGATATTGATTTGGGTTATTAGAACAAGATTATCCGAAACTTGAATTGGAGTTTGCTAATTAGCAGCACTTTGAGCTTACATAAGGTAAGCCGCACGTTGTGTGAAATGTAATCTTGATGAACATCGGAGCTCATGGTGCGATCTTTATAAAACGTTGGCAACAAAAACCAAAACTCAAAGCTTTAGCTTTTACAAAAGATTTTTGTTGTATTCTGCAAATGTGATAGGAAAATATATGTATACAGACGCATAGGCCAATGGACAAACTTTGCTGGATTGTCTCAGCTCGTCGTGCTCAAGAATATATATACGATATATTTTGTGGGGGGCTGCTTCGTAAATGTAAAATACAATTGCACAAAATCATGCTACCCTTTACTCATTTTCAATGTGTTCAGGGTATCAAAAATAAAGTGCAGTCCATAGTCCGCGCTGCGCTCGAAAGTATGCAATGAAAAATGTATTGCAATACCTAACGAGATGCAGAGTCCATACCCAAATATTAAAATGCTCCCCATTAATTTCTAGAAACATATTTAAGCAGTCTATAATTTGCAATTGTTATCGGATATAATTTAATTTTTACTTATGTGTCTAATTATGGAACATGATAATGGCGTGTTAAAAGCACATTTTTGTAAGCTGTTATGAGCGCAAAAGATAAGCCGGTCTGGGCAGGGTCTATATAAGGCCTGTGCAGTAAAGCACGACTAAAGAGAAGTCTTTTTTCTGGCAACAATAAAATGTTATCTCCAACGGTTTTTAGGGAGTTCTTGCTGCTGCTTTGTGTACTTCAATGCTCTGACGGCAAGGTTAGTTAATCCTTAAATAGATAATTAGCCATGCGTACAGTTGATCAGGATACTTCTGCAGCGCAATTGGGTATACGATCCGATATCCATCGATGGCCTCAGTGCAGATGAAACTAAAGTGAAGGTAGATATGCGTGTAGAGCGCGTGGGTCGCCACGAAATTGGCTTTTCGGGCACCATCGACTGGCAATATGATATCGATAACACAACTATGGTGGGTTCTCAGCAAATGATACTTTATAGTAATAATTTATTTATTATTTTTCGAATACTCTTAAGGTTGAGATGTTGATCTATCGTAGTGCCAGCGGCAGCGAAAGTGACTACAAACTGTTGCCCTATGCTGTGCCCAAGAAACCTTTCCCCTCTGCAAAGACACCCTATGATGAAATTGCATATCCCAATTTATCTCTTTGTTCCAACATACCCAAAATCGAGGGCGACGTGTTGCTACCATGGCCCAGGAATCTGTACACATTTCATTTGTGTGCATTCTCAGAGGGAGTCTTACCAGAAGTAATGGTTGACGGTTTCTACAAAATTATAATCAATTTGACTGGCGAGGTCGATTGGAGCCTTACTATTGTCATTAGGATCAGGACAAAATTAATCTAATCGAAATATTCGAATATTTGGCCTGATTTTGATTAATCTTGTGGTAAAAATTTTATTTATGCTTTGCACAATTTCAGCTACTTTTTTTCGTAACAAATTCCTTCTTTACAAATTCGATTCTTTTATTAATTGATTTATTAAATTTCTTGATAACAATGTTGATAATATATGATGAGGGTTTGAGTCACAGTTCGAACTCGAACTGATGGCTAGGAAGGCTAGGGACTTGGTTCGATCCGTAAACCGAAACTCAAAAGCCTGAACAAATTGGGTAAAAAGCGTATAATGTATTTGTGCAAATGTATGTAACAGGGAGAAGGAAACACCTCCGACCCCATAAGGTATATATATATATTCTTGATCAGCATCAATAGCCGAGTCGGTCTTCCCATGCACGTCTGTCTGTCTGTCTGTCTGCCTATCCGTCCGTATGCATGAACATTTCGATCTCAGATCCTAGAAATTTTATACGTAGATCCTTCTAGTGCTCGTGCCGTACGCATTTGTTTTCGATAATCGATAACTTGCCCTAAGAAATTTCTAAGAAATCAATAAAAATCGATATTGAAATCTTTCTGTTTTGAGCAAATTTCTCGGTAATGTCACCAAGTTTGTGTTAAGTGTATACAGATCGAATATGTTGCATTAAATAGCCCTAGCGTGAGCTGTATTTGGTTTGGGCAGAGAGAGGGCAGTCGGGCACTTTTACTTGAGCCAACCTTCTTATTTTTAAGCAAATGTGAAGAAGCCAGTTTCCATCTTCCACAAAGCATATATATATATAGATTATTTTGATCCATATAAACAGACATGTGTCAACTCGACTGAATACTATCGCGATCAAATTCAAATAAATGTATGTCTGCACATTGAAGTCAACCGATTCGTGCTACTGTTTGGGTTGTCACACGATTTGTTTACTTGCACGAATTGACCCGAATTGTTGTTGGACCCAAATTGACAGTTGCATAAAAGCAAATGAGGCCCGAATTGGTTTTTACAACGGGCAAAAGTAATTTGATTGGCACTTGGCGACAAACTTTTACATGCCAACGAATTTGAAACGTATTACCAACAGTTTTTGGGCAATTTTACCCCTGTCCCCTGAGTCGCGCTCAGAGACTTTTATGGCATTCGCTGTGTTGTTTACACTTGAAACTAAATTAAAGCGCCATGAAAATGCAATAATTTTCGCTTTTATTTTTGTTTTTTTTTTCCTATTTATTTATTTGTGCCGGCCATCGTCAGTGTCATTGCCATTGGTGTTGTTGTGGTTGTGTGTGGTTGTTGTTGTCGTAAAACTCACAACAATTGCAAGTGTGTGTGTGTGCATTAGATAAGAGCTTTGTTTGCCCTTCGCACGCATGAACTTTTGCGTGGCGACTGAAGTATAAATTTATTTAGTTGCCGCATAAAAAGTTCACTTATTCAGCTGCCGTTGTTGCCGGCAATAAAAGTAATGTTTGATAATAAGCGGCAACAACAGCAGCAACATCAACAGCATCATCAGCAGCAACAACAACAACAACTTCATTTGCAATTTCCGTGCGATTGTCTCAAGTTGGCTGCTGCTGCTGTCTGTTGCTGCTGCTGATAGAAATCAGAGGCAAAATGTTGCAATGCTAACAGCAACAGCAGCAACAGCGTCGACAACAACTGAATAAAGTTATTAGCGCATTTAACTGAGCCAACGGCTGTGAACTGCCTCCTCTTCATCCTCCTGCTCCCCCTTCAACTCCTCCTGCCTGGCCAGCATCCTCGGCGCTCGTTATGCGAATACTCGCACATCGCATTGTTCGTCTGGCCAACTGCGAATGCAATTTCCATTTTAATTACTGCCAAATGACAACAACAACAATAACAACTGCAGGCTGTTGAGAGACGAGAGTGAGCCGATGGCCAGACATTCGGCAGACAAATAGCAACAGCAACAGCAACGACAACAACAGACCAAAGCTGGCGGTGGCGCATGCGCCGTAACAGCAGCAACAACAGCAACAATAACATCACCAGCAGCAACAACAGCAACACTTGCAATAAAGGCGAAAATTAGTCACACAATTCATGGCACGTTTAAAATATAAATTACACGCGGTTGATATTAAGAGTTTGTCTAAAAACTACCTAAACTATATATATACAAAGTCAAAAAAATACAAAAAAATTCAAGAGTTCGACAAGACTTTCATCAAGTACATTAATTATATATATATATATATATGTGCATATACAGCAATTATCTGATATGTTTCTCTACTGAAAAGTTGCTCTACTTTGGACAGCAACAACATTTTTGAAAGTTCTATTCAAGCAGCCGGGTTTGAATCCCTGGCAAGTGCATGGCCTAATTGTTCTCACAATCAAAGGTCATACTTTGCCAGTACTTAATACAAATTTCGGTGATCGACACACAGTTCAATAGGAAACTTTCTTTTGGGTCACAATTGAGCTATACGAGGAAATGGAAAAGCATCAACAACAACCTAAATATATAAGTGTGCTTTGCAAACATATTGTCATAAAACTACTTTCAAATTATATATTTATTTATTTAATTTGTTACTAAATCGACAGCTTGTCGCCTAGTCCAGAAACATATGCTATATCTATGCAGTCGGAGTGGTACCCCTCCATAACATCAAAAGCTTATAGGTAATACACTCTATAAAAACCAGCTGGCAGTTGGCAGCTATTGGAGATCTTTATTGGGTGGCTATAAGCAATATTTATTAATGTCCATTATTTCGCGACAAGCCTGTTATTTATTTGCATAATTTGGCAACACTTTAAAGTATCTAAAAGCAGCACATAAACATCTCAGGCAACCCTCGCGTATAGAAAACTTAACACTCTGCGCGTAGCTGCTATTAAAAATGCGAATTAAAATTCGACTTGTTGTTGTTCAAATTGGATATCTGACTCTGGTTGTTGTTGTTATTGTTGTTGTTGCCGTTGTTGTTATTGTTGCTGTTGTTGTTGTTGTTGCTGGTGACACTTGTCGTTTGCTACCTTTGCCGTTTCGTTGTTGTCAGTTTTTTGCTTTTATTTGTGCATTTTCTGCATAAATATTTCAACACTTTCGCTTTTGTTTTGTGTCACACAAAAAATGGTTTTAATTATTCCCAACGTGAGCGCACAGCCCCCCCCCCCCCCCGTCCCTCGTCAGCACCTGGCCCCCCCTTACATAGGGCGTCCGCTGCACGGGCTGCCTTGCATTTTAATTGCATTTTTATTTAATTCCAGTGTGTGCTGCATCTAATTTGTTGTCATCGTGTTGTTATTGTAATTTTGTAATATTTATTTTTTATTTGTTTATCTTTTGTTTGTTGTTCAAGTTTTTTTCTTCTTTTATTTGCGCTACTGTTTTTGTGCTTTTGTTTTTACCTTTTGCTTGACTTTTTTATGTTTCTTCCCACGCACTTGCAATAGTTTTGGCCCATTGTTGTTGTTGTTGTCGCTGTCGTCGTGCATTTGTTTGCGTAATTGTTAAAAGGCAAGAGCAAAACAAAAAGAGCGAAGAAAATAATAAAAAACTAAAAAATAATTTCGTCATAGCGATTGTCTTTTGTTTGCGAATTGATTAGCACGATCTGATTTGTATTCGCCTTCAGACTCACAAGACTATTACATTGGCCCGAGCTGTGAAGTTTGCAAAAACTACAAGTTATCTTTTTCATATCAATTACTAATTAATTTCTTTTTTCTATTCAATTACGAGCAAGAACAGCAACTACTTGACATAGCTATGTATGTTCGAACATATTATTAATTTAATAATAACATTTATGACCATTTTGTAATCAATCAGATTGATTTACCAAACAGAGCTTGAAGTTTATCGAATGCCAAACACATATCCAAAAAGTTTTCAGCAATTTGAAAAACTACAAACTAATGTACGAAGTTTGGTCAGTTCGTCACTCATCAATCAGTCAGTCAATCATTCAATTCAATCAGTTTTATATGTTTTTTGCCCCATTCGTTTTACTTATACTTTTATTTTATATCTTTTTTTGCTGCTTGCATTCCGTCAGGCAGTCAGTCAGTCAATCAGTCAGTCAGTTAGTAAGTCAGGAAGGCAGTCAATCATTCAGTTCAATCAGTTTTATATGTGTAGATGAAAGGTACATACCCCATTCGTTTTACTTATACTTTTATTTTATATTTTTTTGTAGGCGTTGAATGTTGCTCATCAATCAGTCAGTCAGTCAGCCAGTTAGTAAGTCAATCAGTCAGTCAATCATTCAGTTGAAACTGTTTTATGTTTCTAGATAAGAGGGCATACCCAATTCGAGTTGCAATAGTTTCATTTCTTCTTTTGCTGTTTGCTGAGAGCCTTGTGATTAGTGCTTCATCAGTCAGTCAATCATTTATTTTAAACATGTGTATAAATAGGTAGGCATGCCTAATTCGACTTTTAAAATACTAATTAATTCTTTTGCTGCTTGCCCTGAGCAATGCTCATCAATCATTCTCTGTCAGTCAGTCAGTCAGTCAATCAGTCAATTTAAACAATTTGATATGTCTAGCTACATTCATTTTATTGTGTCTTTTGTTTAATAGTCAATAGTCTAACTATCTTCGCACTTCATTTCTGCTGTCGTCGCGTCTGCGCAATTCTTGTGACCCGATTTCAAATTGATTTCCACATCTTATTTATGATTTGGCTTTGGGGTCGTCTCTGTCTCTCTTCCTCTCTCTTTAATTTATGACCGCCTTTGGTTGTGTTGTGGGCGTTTTGTATTGTTGAATATTCATGTGGAGGAGGATGTGTGTTCATATGGATCAATAGACTCATTTATTTTGTTGGTGTTGTATACATATTTGCTTAGCTTCTTATCTGTGGCTGTTTTGTCTAAGCGGCTTATGAAATTTACATATATGGCAATTATGGTCAGCAATTATGTTGCCAAATGGCCCGGCAAAAGATCAATCACTGCATTTTGTTTTGGTCTGCAAAGTCTTTTGGCTGATTGCATAAGTCCAAATTAATATGCAAAATATGTACACACAGCCAATGTGATTAGTGAGACATCAAAAGCTGACATCGATATCATAAATTAATTAAAATCATATCAAAGCGAAAGTCGCGCCAACGCCAATGCCAATGCCCGGGGCGAGAATCTCTTTAGCTCCAGCTCCAGCTCCAGCTCGGCTAACAGTAACAAATAATTAGCTTGTAAACTAAAAGTCATCATTAATAATGATTACCGTTTCGGGCTTGGAGAACGCTTCTCGTTTCTCGCTTCTCGGTTCTCGCTTCTTCATTTCCCCATTTCTCGCTGTTGATTTCTCGCCTGC